GTAAAATTAGCATAGTTAACATATTGTTTTGGGAATACATAGGCCATAATTCCTATTGTACTCTTGTTAAATACTTAAGATGACCCTTATGGTTTTTTTTTATTACGTTTAGGTCATCTAAGGACACACTTGGAAGAACTAGGCCCAAACTTACTGGGTAATTAGCCTATTCTTGAAATGTATTAATTAAAAAGCACTAAATGTATTAAAACAAAAACACTAACTGACATGCAGGTGTTATGCTTGTATACCTTAGATTACTTCCTTGTAATGCATAAAAGTAACCCAGCTCTTTGGGACACCTCCACCAGGTAGGGACCATTAGCTTCCTAGCTGATTCTCATGCTTCTGAATAAGCAATTGGCTGAGGCAAAAGATCTTCAGATCCCAAAAGGGACACTAAGTCTGCTGCCAGAGCAAACTTTCTAACCAACAGACTCCACACGTAGACTTCTGAACCTCCTCCATGGCCTATTTATTTTTCTCTCTGTTCCTTCTGGGTCCAAATAGCAAACCTGTAAAGATGTACCAAATGGAAGAGAAACTTAAAAAGACAAAAGTAAAAACAACTTACGAGAAATAAAGGAAACATGCAATAATTTCTCATTTTGCACAGGCCAGTCAACAAAAGGCTGAAAAGCCTTAATAAGGACACTTAATCTCTATAAGCTTCAATTTCCTTTCACAAGAAAGGAATTTGACTAGACCCCTAAATGATTCCAGGGGGTTGGGGATGTGACTCAGTGGTAGATCACTTGTCTAAATGACTCCCATCACCCTAACTCTGGACAATATTTAAACTCTGTATTCTGATCACTGGGAATAGGGATGAGAAAAAATAATTTGTTTCAGGAAGATAATCATGACCAGCTTCAAGAATGCTTGCTTTTTTGTGGGGTACTGGAGCTTGAGCTCAGGGCCTACACCTTCAGCCACTCCACCAGCCCTATTTTTGTGAAGGGTTTTTCGAGATAGGGTCTTGAGAACTATTTGCCCGGGATGGCTTTGAACCTTAATCCTCCTGATCGCTGCCTCCTGAGTAGCTAGGATTACAGGCCTGAGCCACCAGCATTTGGCAAACTTTTTTTTTTGTGTGCTCTTGGGATTTGAACTCAGGACCTCCACACCTGCTACAGAGGTGCTCTTTCACTTGAGCCAAGCTGCCAATCTCAAGTATGCTTTTTAAGCCAGGCACCAGTGGTTCACACCTGTAATTAACTACTTGGGAGGCTGAGATAAGGATCACAGTTTGAGGTCAGCAATCAGGAGAACCTACCTCCAAAATAACAATAGCAAAATGGACTGGAGATGTGACTCAAGACCCTACCTCCAAAATAATAATGGCAAAATGAACTGTAGGTATGGCTCAAGATGGTAAAGCACCTGCTTTGCAAGCATGTAACCCTGAGTTTGAACCCCAGTACACCCACACACACACACACACACAAAGAATGTTTTTTAAAGGGCTGGGCATGTATCTTAGCAGTAGAGTGCTTGCCTAGCATGTTCAAGGCCCTGAGTTCAAGCACTGCAGAAAACAAACAAACAAACAAACAAACAAAAAGGGCTATAAAGAATACTTTTTAGGTCACTGAAGCCCCCACAAAAGTATACAGCTTCTTATAAAGGAGACCTAACCTTATTTTAGGAACAAAAGCCCATAGTGACTATGATTGCTGTTTTCAAACATACCCATATCTGGAAATGGAATGTTATTTGAAGGCCAATTCAAATTTTGCAAAATTCCATTCTGTCTAAATATGAATCTTTCAATACAGGGAACATCAATGCTGACTGACCATGCCTGAAGAGGAAGTGACTTAATAGGAAAGGAAAATAGACCACAAAATATCAACCCATGGGGAGGCAGTCCTAAAACTAGGTAACACTAGGCAAATAAAAGGGAGTTTGAAAGAAATCTACATGGGTTTCCACCATTTATATTAGACAGATATCTCACAGTAAGTAAGAACTGTGTGACGTGCTTAGATTTCAACAAGACCAATTTTCTTTTTAAAGTCTTCATTTCAACATTTATTTACTTGCTACTACTCTAAAAGCTGTAACTACCTCCTTAACCTGAACACCAATGGAAAGGAGATCATATGACAACAAAGCAAACTAAAAAATGGCTCCATTTCACTTTATAACTATTTGGTGCACAAACATCAGCAACCATTACAACTCACCAGCATTATAATGTAAATCTCAGTATCCAATCAGAACAGGCTTCTAGTTTTCATTCTAAGAGGTTCCTAAATCTAATGCTGTTTTAAAAAACAGCATTCCCACTTTATCTTATACTGAGTCCTGTAAATTTTGACAAAGAGGTTAAAATTCTTTCATAAGAATCTTGATGGGTGATTTGATAATCTCAACGCGTGCACTGAATAGATAGGGACCTGTTAACATAAATAGGAATATGCAGAGGTGAAGGCATATGCATCAGGTTTAAACAAACGTCTTGGTAAATATATTAAAATATTGGCATTTTTTTCCTTTGATATCATACCTATCTCCATAAACATTTAATCCCTCAATTAGTTTGGATCAGTAACTAACGTTTATGCAGTAATTCATAATCTGCAGAGCACTTTAACACATATGACCTCATTGAAGACTCATCACTAAATAAGAAGGTGCTATTTTTAGGCCCATTTTTACATGTGAGGAAGCTGACACTAAATGGCTGACTTGCCTATGCTCACAAAGCTGGAAACAGGGCTGAGTGGGACTTGAACACAGAACTCTTGACTATAAATGGCTTACACTGTACTGCTTCAAAATATTGTTACCAAGTCTCAGACCCCCATTCCTTAGATAGCCACACTCTGCTCCCAGTCTAGGTTACAGTTAGCTCCAGAAAGCCTTTACTCTTTCTGGAAATAAAATTTTCATCATTTCCCTTGAACACATTACCTGTCTAAAGTGTTAATGAGGGGATCAAATAAATGCCCTTCAACACAAAGCAGTAAACATCACTTGGCTTTACATAGGACACCTATGTGCCTTTTCCCAAATAGTGGGTCAGATTCTCTAGAAGTCCATGACCCTAAAAAGATGAAGAACTTGGCTAGATGTCTTTCTAAACAGCTAAATTCGTACAGAAAGTTCTCAAGTTTATAAAGAGTTCTAGCTTGGCCTCATACTATAACACACCCTCACTTCTACCTCCCCTTCTCCTACAGCCAATAGTGTCCTTCAGTATCTCCACCTGTTTTTTAAATCATACATAAAACTCAAAACAACTAATAACATACAAATCAACAGCCTATAAAAAAGAAATTTAAATTAAAATAACTATCCCTTAAAATGTAATAAAACATATTCATTTCCTTTAGGACTTAAATTCCCAGAATGAACATTTTCTTATCACAAGCATTCCAATGTCCACCAAAGGATTTTCACAAATATAGCTACTTTGAACTTCTGAAATACCAGTCTTCACTAAGAACCCTTTAGATCATAAAGACGACAAGGTAGCATGCAAGGAATTCTAAATCTATTAGGCAGTTCACTCAAGTATCATACCAGAAGGATTTAGAATTTTTTACTAGGGGGAGAGAGAAGAAAGAAGAATGGGAGAGAGAATGAATGCAGTCCTATTGTCTTCTTGCTTAAAAACTCCTAATATAAATCTGTAACAGATTCCTAGTAACTACTGGACTTGAACATCAGAAGTACAGTCTTTTCATCTTAAAAGACATTTTTCAGTTCTAATCTGTATAAACAAACTTTGTCCTTCAATCTTTCAACTCCTCGGCAGTTTTTCAAGGTCACTTTTCTAAGCAACGACAGAGGCCTGCATCCAGGAACTTTGGCTGCTACACACTCCAACTCAAACAGCCCAAAATCTAAACCCCTATGGATCCTCTCAGGTAAATCCTTTACTAAAGGCAAAGCAAGAGAAGACAACTCAACACCCTCCAAACTTTCTCCTCTAACAGGGCCTGCTCCTTTTCCCTACCCAGAGGCTGAGTACTGCTGCTTCACTCCTCTAGAGTCTGCTGCAGAAATGTTTCAATGACCTTCATTTCATGTTTCGCAAATAAAAATAAAGAATTACTTTTTAAATCAGGTGTATTACAGATCTTAGTCCACAGAAATGAAGATTTCACTATTCACAAGAGCTGACTGGTAACTGATTAGTAACCTTATTAGCTTCAGATCCCTGGGGGAGGGGGGATATCAAGGGCAAAAGATAGGGTGCCTATACTCTTAACTTTCCTATTTACAAACTACATACAAATTACTATTTTAAATATTTCACACTGAAAATGAAAAGCATTTTTCTCTTATCATTTTAAAGAACCAAATCAACACCTGACAAAATGTTTGAAATTGGTAGAAAAGATTTGCTCCTGTCACTGTCAATATAACTGGAGAAGTATGTTTCTAACCAGCATTCTAAACTAAAATGTGCATTTTAAAACAAAGATTGTCACTAAGTTAATTAATACTTATTAGAATCTTGAGTCAGACAGGTAGATCAAGAAAGTTATGGGAGAATTTCACATTGGCATGTGGGCCTTTGCCATTAGAACCTACATCAGTTGCAAATCATATTTTCACACAAATTTCGAATAGCAATAGTGTGGCTTCTATCACTGAAAACACAGATGTCAATGAAGTGCATGGAAACAGAAAAAACTCTTACAGCAACTCAGCTTATTCCATAGGAAAGCTTCAGTGCACTTGAACAAAGGAATATTATTTGGAAAACAGTTAAGTCTATCCGATGCAAAAAGAAAGTGCTTTGCTTCGGTGTGCCCCAGAAAATGACCAGCCCTTCTTGCATCTGATCTTGTTAATACTCAACTAGGAAAAGAAATGCTAACTGAAGGACATGCAAAACCTAAATAGAGTAAGGTATTCTAGGTGCACCAAAAGGTATGCATGGAATGTAAAGTGGCCATTTTCTGAAACAGTGCAACTTGTCTACACTCTCTGAAGCTAAACAGTTTCTATTATTTCAACATAAAACAAAGAATTAAACTTACCGGGAACTGCATTAATTTTACATGTAGTTATTTATATCTCCTCGGACAGGGAGAATTTAAGTCACTCCTATCCCTCCCCCCAAAAAAAGCACGGAGAAAACAAAAGGCAGCAGGAGATGCAGAAACCAGAGTCTGGAATGTCCACTCCAGTGAAAACCCGAACAGCTGTCCTCCCACCCCCAAGCAAACTATTCGCCATTTTTCTTTGTCTTTCAGCTGACCCCTGCCTCAGTGAAAAACTCCGAGGCTCCAATGAAGCCCTGCAGCCTCCTTCCACTTTAACAGTCAAAGACATTCAATCTAGCCTGCTATTTGACACCAAACCTTGCCTCCAGCACAGTCCCATTGGCTGAGCTGCTTTATCAGCTAAGAACACAAAGCCATGATTGGCTATTCACGTCATCAGTTACCTCCTTTGTACACTTCCTGTTTTAAAGTTACCTTGAGAAGCAGAACAGGGGTCAGATTCTACACTTCAAACTACTGGCAATATAAGTATTGGAAATGCCCAGCAAATATACATAGCAAATGTACAGGGCCTCGTGTTCTTCCTAAACCAAGTACTACAAATAATTTACAAGTGTTCATAAAACCAAATGAAAGGGCTGTTATAGTTCCCACCCAAAACATTTCTTATTGGCTGTCAAAGTTCCATTTAAAAAAATTTAAGGTAATTTAACTGTTTCTGATTGGCCATTATGATGTCTGTAAGATATTGCTACAGTATCCTATGGCAGTAAAACTAGAGAAGAAATGTGTACAAGGTTGGAAAGTTGTGTTTAACTACCTTTAGTTCCTATTGAGCATTAACAAAAGAAAAAGGAAACTAGGTAGGATTAATCCAAAGAGGCAGCTTCCTTAACAGTAAAGAAGAGCAATGCTGATGCCCATACAATAGTTTGTGGAATTTCTAAAAGGTCTCTGTTATTATGTTCATGGTCATTTTAAAAGCACAGACTACTATTTTCAAGGCACTTGATAGTAATTTTGAAACAAAAAAAATAACCAAAATAGGACAATCTGAGGTTAATGCTTGAAGTTGGTGGCAGAGATAATGGCATTTCAAAAAAATTTCAAGAATGCAAGAGGGAAATAAGATGATAATGGAGGGGAGGAGAATTGACAAAGACAGGATCTCAGTGAAAACACTGTTAAATGCACATTATGAGCTGTAGATGTAATTCAGTGGTAGGGCAGTTGATACATAAACTAATTTATTGAAGGTAGTCACAAATGTTGCTGATTAGTTTTCAATGTTATAGATGGTTTTTTATTGTTTTGGATTTGTTGTTTTGAGACAGGTTCTTTCTATATAGCCTAGGCTGGCTTTGTTTGAACTCTAGATCCTCCTCCCTAAGAATGCACCTAAGAATGCTGCCTAAGAATTACAGGCAAGTACCACCATACCAGGCCTTGCTATCATGGAAGATAATCTTTTTCTACCACACTTTCAAGAACAAACAGCAGGAGCAGGGAGTAGGGTTACATTCCTATAAACCCAGCACTGGGAGGCTAAGGCAGAAGGATAGAGAGTTCAAGGTCAATGTGAGCTACATAGTGAGACACGGTCTTTTTTAAAACAACAACAACAACAAAGGAGGAAGAGGAGCACTAGCAGCAGCAGCAACGGGACTGACCTCAGGACAGTGTTTTTACTTGACTCACTGTGGTTTCTGATGACATTCTGGGGTACTAAAGATCACCAGTGATGATTACAGATTTATATAGATTTTTTGGCCTTACCTCTTAGGTTTTTTGTTTGTTTGGTTGGTTTGTTTTGGCTGCATGCAGATTTGAACTCAGGGAGTCATGCTTGCTAGGCAGGCATTCTTACCCCTTGAGCCACTCTGCCAGCCCACCTCTTAACTTTTAAAAGGAAGAGCCAGCCCTTCAAGTCCAGTCTGAACTACATAGTGAAACCTTGTCTCAAAAAAAAAGGGTAGGATCCCATTATGGTGAAAATCAATTAATGTAACCTGCCTTTCTTTTTTTTTTTTTTACAAAATATTCATATAAAAACATCTCACCATTACCTGAAGCATTTGACAATCTCCTTAGATCTGCTCCCTCCCATCAAAGCTAGGACTAAACTAAACTGCATAGTTGTTTTGTCAGGTAGATGAAATCTTTCATAGAATTTCCTAGCTTGACCTACATGAGAACTTGTCCTTGTTATGTGTAAATTCAGAGAGCTAGAAATAGAAGGTTTATGTTATGACTCTGCCATATTAACTTCTTTACACACATTCTACTCATTTCCCAAAATGAAATGAAGTAATTTCTGAGCACCAACTAGCATCAAGTTCTGTACTAGGTACATTACAGACTTTACCCCTTTAATTCTCACAACTTTTTTACTTGTGAGAAAGAATAAGGTTCAGAGAAGTTAAGTCACTGGTCCCTAGCCACATACCTAGATGTAGATTCAGGTCCCACCTAGAGTTGTACTATCTCTACTGCACCAAAATGATTACTAAGACATGGAGCATCAGGGTACATCCAAGGAAACGGTTAGGTGCCACAAATATGTACAGATAGCATAAACCATTACCCAACTTCACTAATTTAAAAACCAGAAATCTGGTTAATGTTAAATTTGATCTGTCCATCAGAGATCTAGGTAAGTATCTGACAAAATGGCATCTTCTAAGTTGATACAAATTTTACTATTAAATTATTAGGATTAACCAGTAGTAAACCATACTTACAGTTTATAAGGGCTTGAAACAACTAAATATAAATAGCATACATTAAAATATTAAGGGATTATGAGGCAATTTCACTATGGTATCCAAAGTAGAATTTAGTTATGCCAACAGGATGTGTTATGGGGCAGTTCCTGAAGCTACACACAGTTACAGGGATAATTCTTTTCTCAAAAGTTAGATCAGCCAGGCACCAGTGGCTTACGCCTGTAATCCTAACTACTCAGGAGGCAGAGATCTGGAGGATCATGGTTCAAAGCCAGCCCTGGGCAAATAGTTCAAGAGAACCTTAGAAAAAAACCCTTCACAAAAAAGAACTGGAGGAGTGGCTCAAGGTGTAGGTCCTGAGTTCAAACCCCAGTACCACAAAAAAACAAAAACAAACAAACAAACAAAAAACCTGTAACACTGAGGGCCAAGTCACTCACAAGAAAAGGAAGCTCATTTGTGGGGTAGGGCAGAAAACTAGGGAAAACATGATCACATCGATATTAACTACTAGCAGTGTAGCAAAACAACTAAGCAGGGCTATACTCAGCTAGTTTCAAATTCTGGCTCCTCTACTTGTCAACTGCATGACATGGGACTAAGCCTGAGCCTCAGTTTGCTTATCTGTAATTAAAATATCACCACCTATATTACAGAGTCACCATAAGAATTAAATGAGCTGATGATAAATGTAAAAGTGTATTGTACTGTACTTGAAAAGGCTTTAGTTATATAAGGACTCCCCTAAACAATACAGTATAACAACTATTTACATAGAATTTACATTTATTAGCTTATAAGTAATATAAATGTGATTTAAAGCATAGAGGAGAATGTGCATAGGTTATATGCAAATACTACATTATTTTATAGAAGGGCCTTGAGCATCTAAGTACTTTGGTATCATGGGGCATCCTAGAACAAACACTCTGCAAATACCAGGGACAGTTATATATACATGCATATGATAAAGTGTAATTTATAGACATAGCAAGAGATTAACAACAACTGCTAATAAAATGGAACGCATAACAAAAAATATAAAAGCACTAAATATCATCCAATCCTCCTTCCTTGTTTTATAGAGGGCTAAGGTGCAGAAAGGAACAGGACCTGCATAGGGCCTAAAACTATTCTTGAGGGAGTGTCTCTTCTATTCCCAGCACACCCTGCAATCCCACAGCAAGCAGTTCCTCAGCTACAAGGGGCAGTAAGGGGAGACTTCCAGCTAGTACAAAAATCTCTGGTTTTTATGCCGGAAGTCTATGCTGTTCACCACTAATCCCAGCAGAGGTCTAATTATTATTCTAAAACCATTCGACTTTGCTTTTGATGTACCAGATTAAACCAATCATGTTCCTTGCTCCTCTGTAAATGTCTTCAACATAGTTTTAATTAGTTCTTGGCAGTTTAAAAGAAAAACATTTCAACTCCTATTTCTCATCAAAAGTCACCATAGTAGAATTAAAACCACTGTGGGAAGAGAACTCAAATTATTTTTGAACTCCAGTTGGCAGACTGACCCACTCACTTACTGTAACTTTCTCTTTTCTAGCTGTCATTACTGTGGTCTAAAACACTCATGGATCTTTGAGACTCCAACTCCCATTCTTCCCTGGCCCTGAATCTTAACAGCCCTCTACATCAGTCAATTTTATCCTCTCACCCAAAAACACTCAATCACTATGAGATAAAACCAATGACTCTGGTACATGGTTCAAGAATCAATGTTCTCAAAGAAAGGAGAACGGATGCTCTCAGCCAGAGGACTGATTTTTTAATCATGGCTACCTACTTACTAGCTGTGTGATCTTGACCAAAAATAATCATTTCTGAGCTCATCTCCTCATGTGTAAAAAAACAAAAACAATGATTAATAGGAGTGTTGAGATAAGTGAAAGCATTCAACCTATCTGGAATATGGTAGGTCCTCAATAAATAACTAAATATACCCTCTACTATAGCACTTATCCTTTATAATTTCTAACATCTTCATTATCAGAAAAAGACTTCTTGAGGCAGAAACTGTGTTTTACTTATATCCACATATATTCCCAGTGCTCAGCACAAAGATGTAAACCAAACCCAACTTTAGCCAGTGCCAATGAAACAACAGGGAGTAGCAGAAATTGAGGAAAACTGAAAAGAGAGAATGTCCTGTCTTAAAGGGGCAACCACCATCAGCTCTATCAAAAAGGGCCATGTAGGAAAACTGGTCTACTGCTATTAATTTTAGATGCTTTAAAAGAAGCAACAGTCAGACTGTTTTAATGTAAACCTTTCCATTTTAAATTTTCAAATCCTTTTAAAAAATTATAAGCAAATCAAAGAAAACCAAGGGATATCAGATTACATCTTGACCCGTATTTTTCACCTGACTTGGTCCTGAACAAAGTATTAGCTACTTCCCAAATCAAGGTTAAAAAAAAAAGTGTCAACACACTTTCAAAAGAACCTGACAGTTCTAAAAATAATCCAGGGTGGTTCAGAAACATTTTGAGAAATGAACATCATTAGAATGAACAAACGACATGGCACTGGTGCTTACTAAATAGTTATTCAATCAATGAATGAAATAAACCAATAAATGGAATCTAAGTAGATATAAATTCTCATTTTTTAAACAAATTATATTCTTCACAGCAAACATTAAGACCAATGGATGGAAAATTAATCCAGAAGGACCCTACTTCAGCTCTCAGAACTGCCCAAAGACAGGACAAGCTACTTGGAAAATTATGAATGGGGTTTTTAGAGAAAGAGCAATCATGTGAAGTAGCAGGGAGGAAAATTCACTCTTTGCAGCTAGACAGATTTAAAATTTTATCTAATCCATCCTCACTACTTTTTAGCTTGATTTTCCTTGTCCTAGTAAATAAAATCCCACTTTGGTCAGTCTCCTGTATTATAAAACATTTA